TTTCCTCTCTCTGCCCCTACTGTGTGTCCCCTTCCATCTCTGTCTCTCTTTCCCCTCTCTGTCCTCTCCCTTTTCCTGTTTCTATCTCTGTATGCCTCTGTCTCTCTGCCTCTGTCTCCGCCCTCTTCTTCCTCTCTCTCCTTGCATTTCTTTCCCTCTCTCTCTGTTACTGCCTCTGTATGTTTCTTTCTCTGTCTCTGTCTCCTTCTCTTTCTGTCTTTGTCTCTCTATCTCTGTCTCTCTCTTTCACATACGCACACACATGCACACACGCACACACACGCACACACACATGCACACACGCGCGCGCGCACACACACACACACACACACACACACACACACGCACTGCACTTTCTTGTCCGGTCTGTCTCTCCTGAATCGCCCGTGCCCTGCCATGAGCGCTGTCTCCATAGCATGTCAGTAATGTGGATGAGAACATCCTCTCTCTCAGCAGGGCTCTGATGTTTGTAGATGACAGCGCTGGGGGTGGGGTGTACGTTTTTCGGAGGAGGAAGCTGAGTCTCTGAAGGTGGTGACCTGGCCAAGGGCACACACATCCATCTGCCAGGCCGCTGGGGGTGGGGCAGAGAGGGCTGGCCGCAGAACCAGGAAGCCGGGGCTCAGATGCTGCCTCTGCCATGGTAGCTGTGAGACCCTGGGCGAGTCACGGATCTCAGAGGTAGACACCTGCTCAGTACCAGGCTGCAGACACAGGTGAGATTTAGGGGGAAGGAACAACACAGACCCAGACCCAGGTAAAGAGATGCCGGGTGATTTTGGGAGGGGCTGCCACCTGGGGGCAGGGGGCCTAGGAAGCCCTGCCCCAGGAGGCAGCCGTACTGAGCCCTGAGGGGAGTGGGTGGGATGCTGGGAGAGCGTTCCAGGCCAGCCTGAGGCAGCAGAGGGCAGCCTGGACAGGCAGGGTGGGGAAGAGCCTGGCGTCCACGTCATCTGAGAATCGGTTGGAGGAAGTGGGCATGTTCCGTGTGAAGAGAAGGCTTGGGGCTGTGCCAGACGTTGGCAGGGCTGGCACGTGGTGGTGGGATGTGCCCAGCTCTGTGCATTGAGGCTCGATGCCAGGACACGCGGCCTGACCTGAGAGGGTTGCCACCTCCCAGGGCCCTTCCCCACCCCTGCTTAGGTGAGGGGGGGTGACGAGAAAGAGGGCAGGTAGTAAAATGATTTTTAAAGTTCAGTGAAACAAAAAAACCTAATCCAGAGCCAAAGAAGTACTTGTGGGGAAAGCCTGGAAGTCAGTTTGTCCTATTTTAAAACCACCCAGCACACAGTTATTAAGCATCTACTGTTTGCCTGTCCCTGTGTCAGGTCCTAGGAATACTAAGATAAAAGGTAAACTCTCCCTGCCCCCCCCCCCCCCAGCTGATGATCTGCTGGGGGAAACATGGCTTAGCAAAAAGCAGAATAAATAAAATGTGATTTCAGGATGCTCTGGGCGTGGCCGCTCTAGATAAAGTAAATACCAGGTGATTGATGGGAAAGGGTTCTTGAAGGAGAGGTTCATGGAGTCGAGACTCAAAGAAAACAAGGCGAGCAGGGATGGATTCCCAGGCAGGAGGTACAGGCTGTGCAAAGGCATGGAGGTGGCATACGGGCAGGAGGATGTTGGCCACCTTGGCTCAGACACAGAGCGGTCGTGTGTGATCAGCCTGGAATGGCGGCTGGAGCCCAGTGGAGACAGGCTCTAGTGTCTGCTTACACAATTTACCCACGTTCACAGACTCCCAGGCCTTGAAGGGTAACTGGCCAGAGGAGATGACCAGCTGTGCTTCTTTACTCTGTCTGGCTTGTGGCCAGGCAGGCCCCAGGGACTCTCTTGGAGCCTCCAATTTCCCCATCTGTAAATTGGGTACAGTCCCTCACAAGGGTCAGAGGACAGAGGGTGTGAAGAGCCCCTTGCAGACTGTATAGCGTTGCAGAAATGGTCATGGAGATGGGGGGCGGGCTGCAGGATATGGCCGGGGTCCTCATCTCATCCCCGAGCCCAGGTCTCCAGCCGCCACCTCCCTCTACTCTCTCCAGGTGTGTTTTCCAAATGCTTTCCCATCCATTTACAGAGCAGTCCAGCTAACCCAGTAAGCACTGCTTAAGCACCAGTGGTATGCAGTGCGCCCTGTGGGGAGCACTGCCCTTGGCTGGCTGTGAGGTGGGGGGCAGAGCTGGGGAGGAAGTTGTTTGAGTTGGGGGGGCCCGAAGGGACTGTTGAGGCTGAGCTGAAGGCCTGTCCCTGCAGCTGGCTTGTGGCCGGGCTGGGGATAGACGGGAGCCCAGGGCTTGGGGTTTCCAGGCCACTACTCCCTGATGACACTAATAATGATCGTTACAGAAGCTTGTCCGTGTGTCACTGGAGTGCAGAGACTGGCTCGCAAAGTCGGAAAGAGCCGGAGGGCGGGGTAGGGATCATGGGGGGAGGAGACAGAGCCCCTCCGCCCCCAGCTCAAGTGGCTTGGCTTGAAAGGGCAGGAAATAATGGGGGCAGGATGGGAACCCAGGTCTCCTTCTTCTCAGCCCAGCCTCCCCCCTTTTTGGAGGTAGTTGAGGTAAAGTGACTTGCCCAGGGTCACCCAGCTAGTAAGTGTCCGAGGCTGGGTCTGCTGGCTCTAGGCTGGTGCTTTATCCACTGCCACTCTAGGCTACCCTATGTACTGGCAGGAGTTCCTCCTCCAGCATCCCACACAATTGGTCGTGTAACCTCTGCTTGAATATATCTAGGGATTGGCAGCTCACTACCTCCCAAGGCAGCCCATTTGCCCCCACCACTTACACTTTAGGCCCCTTGGTGTCCAGCAGAGCAAAGCGAATCTCCCTCCCCTAAGATGACTCCTCCGCAGATGCTTGAAGCCTGTGATCACAGCCCAGCACCTACTGTGTGCCAGTGCCTGTGCTCGGGCCTGGGGATATGAAGATGAAGGTTAAGCTCTCCTTGCCCCCACCCCCCATTCCCCAGGCCTTCTCATCTCCAGCCTGAGCCCTGGCCGCTCCCAGTGGGTCCCCCCAAAGCCCCATGAGGTGGGAGGCTGGCTGGCTCTTTCCATCTCTGAGGCTGGTGTTCCTGCCTCGTCCCAGTTCCATTACGCCATCCATCCTTCCTAGCCCGCAGCACTGCCCACGGACAGCAATCTGTCGGGTGGATGCTGTGGGTGTGACGCCAACTTTGCTTTGAGATGCCTGGTCACTGGAGCAGCAGGAGGGAGAGTGGGAGGAAGTCCCCAGACCACAGAGGAAGGGCTAGCTGGGTAGGGCCCCGCCAACCCCGCGGGCAGCTTCTGCTGCCTCCGCCAAGTGGGCAGAGGGTAGAGGGTGTGATGAATGACTCTGGGAGGCCCAGCATTGGAAATATTGCCATGGTAGCTTAAGGGGTTGGTAGATGAGGAAACTGAGGCTCAAGGAGAAGGCAAGGGACTTGCCCGAGGTCACCTAGCTAGAGAGGTGAGAGGCGGGGCTCAAGCCCAGTTCCCTTCTGGCTCCAAGCCCCCCCCCCCCGTCCTTGGGTAGCCCACATCACAGGTGAAAGAATTCATGTAAAACCCCTTTGCCACCCTGGCAGAGGTTAGCCCAAGAAGGGACCAGAGGGTCATCTTTGGCACGGCACTGGGCAGCATTCGGAGGCAGCAAGGCGGGTGTTAATTAGCACACGTCTTTGGCAGGTGAGGAAACCCACCCCCAAGTGACCCCTCACCTAGGTCTTCAGGCTTCAGATCCTGCCCCAAGTCCGGTGACCATGTTGTCGTCTGCTTTTTGTCCAGTGAGCAGCACAAGGTGCCATAGGCATGGGCAAGGGAGGACTTGGGTAGGTAGGTATAAAGCTAGGCAGTGCTTTCAGGCAGCAAGGAGGGACCTTGGCGGTTGTCTGGGCCACCTCCCCGGGCTTCTGACGAGGAGGTGCTCACTTCCTCCCGAAGTGGCCCACGCTTGTCTGGGGTGGCCTTTTCTGTAACTCCCCCCCTGCTGCTTTTCATTCTGACCCTCAGGGCTCACCCCTTTGTCCCATGATGGCCCTTAGACTATCGGCTGGTAACAGTCCACTCCTTCCATCAATCCCGATCCCCGGGTGACCCTGTCTCCAATCTTCTCTACGTCTTGGACCATATCTTCTGATACTAGTGTCCTCCCAACACGTGGCTTCTGGAATTGAGTGCGGGACTGTCCATGTGGTCTGAGAAGGGCAGAGGACAGAGGGACAGGCATCTCCCTAGACATGGACGCAGTGTCTGTCTGGTGGACAGAGCAGTGGCTCAGATTCCTGCCCCTGAGGCTCATGTGACCTCCAGTGCCTTGGGCCTCAGTTTCCATGATTACAAAACACGGGCATTGGACGAAATGGTCCTTCCAAACATGGATATATTGTCTTTCTCCTAATGCCACCTAAGATCTCGTCGATGAATTTGATTCTGGTATTACTCTGAGTCCTGTCCCCACTGTAACCTCCAGATCGTTTTCCGTGCATGCTCCAGTCTAGCTTTGCCACCCATTCTGTACTAAGGCAGTTGGTTTGGGTTTTTGGAAATTGGGTCTTCCTCTCTTGCCTGGGTTGGAAGTGTGGGGGTCACTCATGGACCCGATCCCATCACGGGCTGGCACGGAAGTTTTGGCCCGCTCTTTCCAGCCTGGGCTGTTTGACCCTCCTTGGGCATTCTGGAGCCCCCTGCTCTTGGAAGCCGCCATTTTGGTATGGAACTTAGTGTGGGCTCCTGATCAGACTGACTCCTGAGTTCAAGCAGTCCGGTGCTTGACGCAGTGCCTGGCACATAGTAGGTGCTTAATAAATGCTGACTGAGTGCGGCACCAGCCTCAGCTCTTCCGGAGCCGGGCTTATTGGCCTGCAGTTGGTCGTGTGGGGTCTGTCGTCGTCCTGTTTTGACCACGTGGTCGTGTTCACATTTACCTGGGAGATGAGTAGTCGTCCTTGTCGGGAGAGATGCTGCTGTTGGGCTGGGATGGGGTAGTGACCCCTGTGTTTCCCCCTTCCTTCTCTCCCAGGGACTCCGACCGTCATGTTAAGGTGAAGTCTCGAAGTTATGTGCTGAACATGCTCAGAAGATTCGACAAAATCAGGTTCAGAGGTCACAAGAGAGATGAGTTCCTCGACTTAGCCGAGTCTCCCAACGCCTCCGACACAGAGTGTGGAGATGAGCTCCCCGTGAAGGTCCCTCGGACGGCGGCCCGAGACGGCGAGGAGTTACGAGACCCTGTGAGTTGCCCGGGCGGGCGGTTCTGTGCCGTTCCTCCCTTCATCACTGAGCAGTGCAGTGTCCTACCCCCTCTCAGGGCCCCCGGGGGGGTCCATTTTGCTCAGACCCCATCACTTCTCCATCTAGGCAGTCATAGGTAGTTGTACATCATTCTTCTGGTGCTGAGGATTTTCCTTTGCATTGTCTCAGAAGGATCCGTCCAGATTTCCTGGTATTCCTCATACTTGTCAGTCTGGAATCCAGCCCGTTTAGACCTTCCCCAGGGGATGGGCATTAAGGATGCTCCCGAGTCTTTCTGACTGCAAAATAGTGCTGCTCAGAACATCTTCGGCCAGGGAATTCTTCCTGTGTGTGCAGGACGATGCTTTCAGGGCATTTTCCTGACCACGGAACAAAGGATGTGGTCCGTTTGGGAACTTGTCCTGCGTCCTGCCGCACCACTGCCCAAAAACGCTCAAGGGAGCGATTCTGCCAGCAACGATGACTGTGCCCTTCCTCCCCACCTTTTCGACATTTTTTGCCGGTTTGATGAGGGTGAGGGGGTGCATCCGAACCACTTCTCATGTACTCATCTGTAGCATTTCCTTCCAAGTGACAATTAACCTTTGGCTCCTTCTTTTTTAGTGAGTTCTTTTAACGTGGCTAGTGTTTGTGAATGTTGTAAAACTGTGGTTCTTACCCCTTCATGGGCCAAGGCCTCACCTCCTGGGCAGTCTGGGCAAGCCTGTGGACCTCTTTTCAGAGAAATGGTTTTAAATGCATAAATCAGAATATATAAAATTGCAAAGGAAACCAATTATATGAAAATACCTTTTTCAAAATATTTTTTAAAAGGTTTATGGATCCTCAGTCAAGAGCTGATTTAGAAGAATGCTAGGACAATTCAGATCACCTTTCAAAGGGCTTTCCAGAGACAGAGAGAGTGGCTCTCATCCCACTTAGCTGATAGGGAAACTGAGGCCCAGAGAGGTTGAGACTTGCCTGGACTAACACTGGCATTATCAGAGCTGGGAGAGGAATCAGAGCTTTGTTCCAGCATAGGCCTCGTCACTGAAGGGCTCAGACCTAGGACAGCCCCAAAGGAACAAGCCACGATAGCTCATGTTTCTAGAGAGCTTCTGTGTTTACAAAGCACCTTTTGGGGCCCTGACCCCGTGAGGGAGCCAGAACGCTAAACCAGAGCTGAGCAGGCGTGAGGGCTTTCGCCGTCAGGGAGCTCCGGCCCCCTACACACTGCAGCGCCAGGGGAGGAAGGACTTCTTCCTCAGGGAGTCTCACTCTCTCTGCACATGATGGACCAGCCACGGCAGGAAGGCAGGCCAGGCTCAGGGGCTCACGTGCTCCGCATCCTTGGGCAGCGCCCAGTCGGGTGGCCAGCTGGGCCCTTGCTAAGTAAGGCCCCTTCCCTGCGATCTCACGCTCCTGGGCTGGGCTCCGCCAGCTCCAGCACCACGGACAGAGAAGGTCAGGGCTCTAGCTGCCCAGGGACACCTGCCCAGGCTCCACCATGGGAGTGTGTGTATGTGTATGTATGGGAGGGGGGTCAGGAAAGGCTTTATGCAAAAGTTGGTGCCTTACTGGCGTCTTGAAGGAAGGGGAATCTGTAAGGCAGAGGGGAGGAGGGAATGCATTCTAGGCATGAGGACATGACCGGGGCGAAAGCATGGCGAGGAACGGAGAGAAGTCCGGTTTGACTGGACTACAGAATGCCCCAGCGAGTCTGGAAAGCTCGGCTGGGACGTCTTCCTTCTGGGGGCTCTGGCTGGGGGGAGCCGAGGTCTGAGGGAAGAAGGGAAGGGTCAGGACAGAAGGAGATGTTCCAGGCCAAGGCAGGGGACGTCCCGGTGAGGGCAGAGCCAGCCTCTGCCAGCCCAGTCCCCAGGGCTGTCTGCTGCTCTGGTCCACGCGCTCTCTTGCTTCTCAGCGCCTTCCATGTGTGGGATGGCTCTTTCTTGGTGGTGCTGCCTCTGCTGCCACGTGTGGCTGTCTCCCAAGGCTTGCTCCTCCTCCTCCCTCTCCCCAAAGTCTCTCCGTGGTTCCAATTTCCACTTCTCTGCGGATGATTCCCAACTTGATCTATGTCCCAGCTCCTGTCCTGCCCGCTAGACATCGCCATCTGGCCGTCTTGCCAAGCCTCAAAGTCAACGTGGCCGAGACTGAACTCACCGCCTTCCCCAACAAACCCAGCCCACCTCCCGGTTTCCCTGGTACCACCAGCCTTGTGGCCACCTGACCTTGAAAACTTCCCTCCAATGGCACAGACATGTCCAGTGGCATTCAGGAGGCCTCCAGTGCCTCTCCTGCACAAATGTGGCCACTCCCCTGGTGCAGGCCTCCATCCCTGTCCCTGGGGTTATTGCAGCAGCTTCCTGACCTCAATCCCCCTCCCCCCCCCACACACACACACATGCACACACACACACACGCGCGCGCGTACACGCACACACCAATACCTACAGTCTCTCCCCTCTCCTGTCTGCCTTTCCCTCACCTGCCACAATGAGCTTTCTAATGCCTGGGTCTGACCAGGATAGGGTCTCAGGAGGAATACTGGGCTGAAAGGGCAGGATACTGGATTCTCAATTCTGCGTCAAGTTCTGAGACGATCGTGGACGAGGCCCTTAGTGACTCAGAGCATCAGCTTCCTCATCTGTAAAATGGGATAGTACTTGGACAGAGTTGACAAAGAAGGTGTTTTGTAAACATGTGCCTGGCACACAGTAGGCAGTTAATAAGTGCCTGTCCCCTTTGGTCCCCTGCCTGGCCGGACACATGCGCCCTCTTCTCCGACCAGCTCCAAACCACATGACGTAGAGGCTCCCCTGCCTTTATTCAGAAGATGACGTCATCCCGCTTTGCCTTCCCCGGGGGACAAACCGCAGATGTGGATGTGAAAACCCAAAACTGTCCCAAGAGACTGGACCTGTAATTCATTGCTGTGAGGAGCTCCCAGTGTGGCAGACTCCTTCCCTGGGCCTCAAGGCACAAACCTACAGAGTCATTTGAGGAAGGAGGGAGGGAGTGTTGACCCCTTGGGGGACTCAGGAGAGGGCAGCCCCTGAGCCGGGCATTGAGGGAGGCCCAAGACGGAGGACAAAGGGCATTCTGGGCAAGGCTGTGGACTTTGCTCGGCAGTGGACACCTCTGTTCCTTTGCTTAGTTTGGGGTTCGGCTGCTGCACTGATATCATGTCCACGTGACCCACCTGGTGATGTCTCCTCCTCCTCCTCCCACCGCTCCTGGTTCTGCCCTCTGCAGCCAAAGAGAACAGGGCTGGCCCCCCCTTCATGGGACAGCCCTTCAGATACTTGAAGACAGGCAGCAGGTCGTCCCTCCAGCCTGAACAACCCATCGTCCTAAGACACGGGTTCAAGGTGCTTCACCGTCTCAGGCTGTGGTGCTCCGACAGAGATCTGCCAAGGGCAAACACAGTGTGACCATCAGCTCTCGTTTCCTGGAAGCTCTCTGCCACTGCTAATGAAGCCCAGGAGGGAATTGGTGTTTCTGGCTGCCACACCTTACTGCTGAGTCACGGGGCTTGTGGGCCACAAAGCCCCCCAGATCTTTATCAGAACAAACACTCTCCAGCTATCTCTCCCCCACCTTCTGGAAGCTGATTTTTGTGAACTTCACATTTCTTCTTCTTTAGATCCAGCATACTCCTCAAGCCTGTCAAGATCCTTTTGAGTCCTAACTTTTTAGTTCTTCCTCCCCAGGGACTTTGTGTCATCTGTAGAGTTGATGAGCATACACATGTGCCCTTATTTGAATTATTGATGAGAATGATAAACAGCACAGGGCCAAGCACAGATCCCTGGGGCCCTCCACCAGAGACCTCCTGCCACAATGACACTGAATCATTAACAAAGCAGTTCTGAGTCCACTTAGCCAGCCTCTTCTGAATCCACTTGTCTAATTCAGCTCTTGCCATCTTTTCCACAAAACTTGTAGGGATATTTTGTCAAAAACTTTGCTAAGATTTAGGTAAACTCTATCTGCCGCACTCCCGTCATTGCCTAATTTAGTAGTCCTGTCAACAAAGAAAGTGAGGTTAGTCTGGCATGACCTGTGCTTGATGTAGCCAGGTTGGCTCTTTGGAATGACTGCTTGACTTTTTCCATGCCTGCCAACCGTCCCTTCAGGAATCAAAGGCGTGCACACTGGCCTTCACTTTTTAGGCTTCACTCTCTTCACTTTTTTGAAAACAGGGACATTTGCCTTTCTCCAGGCTCACGGTCCTTCTCTGTTTTCCATGATCTTTCACATAATCTGAGGCTGGCTCTCTCTCTGCATTACAGTGCCTCTCCCTACTGACATGACTTTGTACTTAATACAATTTTGTACGTTGAAATGACTTTGTACTCAGTATAGTTAATTTTTGGTGTTTCCCCTTGGTCAAATGTAAACCCTTTGAGGGCAGGGACAGTTTGTTTTGGCCTTGGTATCCTCAGAACCCAGCTCTGTGGACATCATGTACCAGGCATCTGATAAATGCCAGTTAAATGGAGCACCATCTCTCCAAGGGCAGAGAGAAGGGGGTTAGGGGGAGACAGAGACAGAGAGAGAGAGGGAGTGAAAAGCATGTGTGAGAAACAGGCGCCAGGCCAATAAGCCTGGAATGGGAACTGGAGAAAGGGGAGTCCCCAGGGATAAAACTGGAAAGGCAACAGGGTGGAGGCAGATTGTGGCAGGCTCTAAATGCCAGGCTGAGGATTGGATATTTGCTCCTGGAGGCAATAGTGAGCCACTGAAGGTTTTAGAGGTAGGGTGGCAGTGATGTGGTCACACAGTTTGGCTTCTGTGTGGAGGATGAGAGGACACAAGAGGAGCACCATGTGTCTGGCACTGCACTAAGTAAGGTGATGAGTGTGAACAGTCTGACAAAGTGCCTACTATGTGCCAGGCACTGTGATAAATGAGATGGTGAAGAGTTTGAGCAGTCAGAGAAAGTGCCTACTATGTGCCAGACACCATGCTAAGTGCTGGTGATGAAGAGTGTGAGCAGTCTGAGAAAGTGCCTACTGTGTGCCAGGCACTGTGCTAAGTGCTGGTGATGAGGTGTGTGAGCGGTCTGAGAAAGTGCCTACTATGTGTCAGGCACCGTGCTAAGTGAGGTGATGAAGAGTGTGAGCGGTCTGAGAAAGCGATTATCTGAGATAGAAGGAATGAAGACTGAGACCGCCCGGGAGTCTGTGGCCCTGGTTAAGAACAAGTCACAATCACCTCCCTTGGCCTCAATTTCTTCCTCTTTAAAAGGGGGGGAGGGCCTCTGAAGTCCCATCCAGCTCTCGACCTGACCCTGAGCCCCCGTCTTCTCCTATCTGTGTATTCCGGTTCCCCCTCCCCCCTCAGAATGTAAGCCCAGTGAGGGCAGGGCCTCCCTCTTTCCTCTCTGGGAAGGCCCTCTGCCCCCCCCCGCCCTCCAGAGTATAAGCCCAGTGAGGGCAGGGCCTCTAGTCCTGCCAGATCCCGCAGCCTCACAGAATGCTCAGGACTGGATTTCTCCCGGTCAAACAGACTCATCACTCATGTTGTGGTCTGACTTCTCACTTACGCACAGGATGCAGAAGCGCCTGGGATGTGCTAGCAGACTCCTTCTCCCCTTGCCCAGCCCCCACCTGGCGGGCCCCTCAGGGGGCAGCCCTTGTCACGGCTCGTGCCCTGCCCCCGTCCTGAGAGCAGGAGATATTTTTAAGTGGCCATCTGCAGGGCTCTGTCTCCTCCTGGGATCGAGCGCCCCATTCCTCCCCAGCCGTGCCAGGCTCCCCCACGGGCTGTCATCTGTTTCTTCGGGGACTTTCTCCAGGCCCCCCGGCAGCCCTCCCCATGGGGCGCTCCCCCGGGGGGCACCTGTGATCTGCCCGAGGCCGGAGGTGCCTAGAAGGTGGGCTCACCTGCCCTCTGGGTCCAGCCCAGCCCTCCACCCTCCTCTGACTCTGCCTGCCTGTCAGCAGCTAGGAGTGAGCCGTAGCTCCGTGAGCAGGATTTTGCTGTTTCCCACCGGGGAGGATGGGAGGGCTTGGCAGGCTGGCTTCATCTGGTTCCTCCTTTCCCTGGCCTGGGCTCTGGGGCTTTGAGCCCCACTGGGCTGTGGCAGAGCCCCGTTGGGCAGCAGAGCCGTTGGGAGGAGCCCGGGCTGGGGCAGGGAGGCGCTAGCCTGGCAGGATTTGGCAGCCCGGTCGCCCGAGCTGGTCCACTGCGGCGGTCCGGCTTGGGAGGGGGAGCCTGGCAGGGCCCCCTCCTCAAGCTCTGTACTGCTGTCTTTCCTCCAGGCTGGGCCGGGCACTCTCATCATGGCTGCTGGAGTCCAGGATTATAACCGAACAGAATTCGATCGACTAAATGAAATCAAAGGGCACCTGGAAATCGCCTTATTGGAAAAACATTTTTTACGTAAGTCCCAGAAAGGGGCCCGGGATGGGTGGGGCCGCTAGCTCTGAACTGGCGCTGCGTGCTGGGGGCCTTTCGGTGGTGACAGGGAGCCTCCCACAGCTGGGAGACAGCGGGCCCCTCTTTGAGGGGACTGCGAGGGCCTGGTGATGAGCCCATTGGGGAGGGCACTCACTGGGGCCTCCAGAGGAGGGGCTGGTGAGGGAGAAGCTTCTGGTGCCATTGAGGCAGCTCAGGAAAGATGACAGGCAGTGGAGGATGGCAGGTGTCTGCGGAGGTCTGTGCACTGTCTGAGGCTGGGTGGGGCCCTGCATCCACATAGAAGCAGCTTCCGAACCTCGGGGGCGGCATTCTTCAGGGGCTCCTGGCCTCGGGCAGGGGCCTCCCTTCCCCAAGGGGGAGAGCAAAGCCCGGCCCGGAGGGTTAGCCTGAGTCGACTGCAAGTGGCCTGGCCTCTGTGGGCTAAGCCATCCCCAGGGGAGGGCCTGCCAGGCCTCGGGCCTCACTGAGCGGAGGAGCCCAAAAATGCCAGGGCTAGGCACAAAGGCGGAGGGCTGCTCCCACGGGCAACACAGTGATGGAACTGTAGACCCAAAGGTTCCCATCACAAGGGACCCTCCCCAAGTCATCTGGATCAAGTGCTTCCAGAAATGAGTCATCTCCGTAAGATCCCTGCCCCCTGCCTGCATAGTGCGAGAATGGGGAGCTCCCGTGACAGAGCTGTCCAATAGAGGGCAGAGGTGGGGGGTGGACTTTGGAGATTGGAGTGAATGGAATCTAACAAAAGGGTAAACCAAGGCAATTCTCTGCGTACAATGTCATTTATTAACAGGGGCAGGTTACGCGATAGTAAAGGATGGATGTCATGATAGAAATTCTGAGACGAAGATCTGAGCGCAATCCATCAATTTATCAGTTAGGCTAGAAGGAACCTCTCCCGATGACCCAGAGTGAGGGCCCACGGGCCCTTTTAAACCCAGATGTGTCCTTCTAGTTGGCCGGACGGTACATCATGGGGACCGCCCCTGGCAGTAAAGCAGTCCCATTGATGTGTGGGCTGGCCTTCCCCATTCAGACCAAGTCACCCCTAGCTTTGAGAGCCTGCAGCCCCGGCTGGTGCTGAGTAAGCGGAAGGGAAGGGCCTGGAGCAGGTGTCTCTGGGCCACAGTGGTCACACCCCTTCGGAAGTGAGGTTTGACAGAGGAGGAGGAAAGTTCACTTTAGAGATAACTGAACTGGGGCCCAGAGAAGGAAGTGATTCAGCCAGCTAAGGGCGAAGCTGGGGCAGAGCCAGGCCCAGGTAGGTGTGACCACACCTCCTCTCTGCCTTCAGAGGGCGATGCAGGGGATGGAACCCAGGCCCAGAGGCAGGAGGATCTGAGTCCTGCCATCTCTGCAATGCCGGGCAAGGGCCCCGAACCTGTCTGCCTCAGTTTTCTCACCTGTAAAATGGGGATAATGACAGCCCGCACCTCTGAGATAATAAGTGTAAGGTGCTTTGCAAACCTTAACACATTCTAGAAACTGTTATTATCATTATTATTCTGGATGATTTTAGGCACTCCTTCCTGGAACTGCGTCAGTGTCCCTCTTGGTGACTGGTAGCTCTGCCCCGAGTCCAAACAGAGCTAGTCTGCCCGCAAGGGTAGCCCTGGGTCCCCCTGCCTGTACACAGGATGTCCCAGGGCCTGGTCCCTAGGCATATTCTCCTGGCAGAGCATAAACGCCTCTTTGTTTTTGTCTTTGTCTAATTAACACCTAGAACAGGGCCTGGCACATAGTAGGATCGCAGGGTCCTCCATCTGGAGCTGGGAGGAAACTTAGAGGCCTCGGGTCCAAGCCCACCATTTTACAGGTGAGGAGACTGACTCCCAGAGAGGTAAAGGAACTGGCCCAGTGTCACCCAGGTGGTGAGCAGCAGAGGAGGATTCATACCCCAACACTCTGACTACATCCGGTGGTCTTCTCTTAGAAGACAGAAGGTGTTTCTGTTGCCCAGCCCTGGAGGTCGTCATCCACAGGGGGTGTGAGTTCATGGCTCACCCCCTCCTCCATCATCAGCTGGGTGAAGCTGTGCCCACCGGGGGCTCTAATGGGGAGGGTGTGGCGGCAGCACACGAGAAGAAGAGCTGAGCAGACATTTCAGGGATGCGTGACTCAGTTTCCCTCCAGCTAAGTAGCCCTCATCTGTTCAGATGGACATATAGAAGAGTGGCCGTGGCTGAGAGCAGGGGCTGTTTAGAGGAGCCCCAGAATTAATGCCCTGTTTAATAAACCCAGCCCCCAGGGCAGTGGGCTCTCAGGCCCCTCCCAGCTCTGACCTGCCCTGTTCTAAGGCCCCCCCCATTCCTTGTCCTGAGGTCTCTCCTGTTCCTGATACTCTCTGCTGTCAGGCCCCTCCCCACCCTAATGTTCTCCTCCTTCGTCTCCCCCACCCCTCGTCCAGGAAGTAGATTAGCTCATTATCTTTCTGGGAGAAGAGATGATGGCCTACAGGCCTGAAAGGCTTTTTCTTAGCTTATTAAATATTAAAGAGTACAAATGGTCCCCTAAGCTGGTGATAGGGGCTCAGGAATATTCCAGTGAAGTCATCAGGCCCATAGTCCCCTCCCAGGGTGGGAGGGGCTGTCCATCCGTCCTGCTTGCGAGCACCATGTTTCTCTTGAAACCCCCCTGCCCTTGGCCTGGGATGGCATCAGGAGGGGGTCTCCTCATACCGTCCAGTACAACCTAAATCAGGTTCTTCCCCCAGCCTGGCCTTCGCTGGGCTACTCGCAAAGGGGCAGAGCCACAGTCCTCCCGGGCCATGCTGGTTTGACATTACGTGCCAGGATGTGGGCTCTGGTGGCCCTAGGGTGAGGCTATAGGGGAGAGGTTCAGGGTGGGGTTTCTGTCTAGTTTTATAGACCCAGAGAACTTTTCAGAGTGGGGTCTAACCTTGGAAGGCACCTATGCTGACCTCCTCATGTGCCAGAGGAGAGAGCTGAGCCCCCAGCGAGGCAGGGCCTTGTCCAGGGTCACACACCTGATGTCCCAGGCCCGCTGACCACCTCCTCCCCCATCCCACTGGCCTCGCACAGGGTTTGGCTGGATCTCCTTAGTATGTCCTTCTGTTTCCCCATCATTGAATGAGTGAGCCCTGCCTCCCCCACGTCATAGCATGGGACCACCCCCTCGGAGGGAGGCTGCTAGGTGCTGACCCCCTCACCTCACTGACCTCCCGATTGGTCTGTCTGGCCCAAGAGTCTGCCTTCCAATCTGTCCTCCCAACATCTGTCAAGTGGCTATTCCTAAAGTCCAGGGCTGACCACATCCCTCCCCTGCATAGTAAACGCCGTGGGCTCCCTAGAGAATAAGAGTGTTGGGCTTGGGAAAGTGCCTCCACCCCTCAAGCCCTCCTGGGACGGTGGCTCCGAAGGTCATTGTTACCCTCTCTAACGTTCTCAGCCAATGGCATCAGCTCAGTGCCTGGACCGACCTGCTTGGGCTCCCCAGGGCTTTCCCTGGGAGGAGCAGAGTCCCTCTGTGCCAGAGCTGGGAAGGGCATGAGAACAGGGGATGTCAGAGCTGGGAGGGGCCTCAGGACAGGGGATGGCAGGGCTGGGAGGGGCCTGAGAACAGGGGATGTCAGGGCTGGGAGGGGCCTGAGAACAGGGGATGTCAGGGCTGGGAGGGGCCTGAGAACAGGGAAGGTCAGGGCTGGGAGGGGCCTCAGAACAGGGAAGGTCAGGGCTGGGAGGGGCCTCAGAACAGGGAAGGTCATTCAGTATCTCACCCCTCTTTGCATCTGATGGGCAGGCAGACCATCCCTCCCCCAGCTGGAGCAGGCAGGAGGCGGGCGTGGCGGTGGCGTTATTGGGCGCCATTCCTATCTGCTTGGGGACAGGGTGTGCTGGACGTCATGGCTGTTGAGATCACCAGGTTGTCACCCTTTGAATCGCCTCTATATTTGGTGTGTGGTTCTCCCAGGATCTAAAGCAGGGCTGATTCTTGGCTGGGTTCAAGTGCGTCAGGGAAAGGCAGCCAGGGATGTTGGGCTTTAAAATGCCCAAGAGAGTTGTGGGGGGAGGTAACAAATTTGAGGTTCTCCGCCAGCCCACTCCCCTGTGCTCAGCCTCAGAGGGCAGAACCAGGAGCACTCAGCAGGCCTGGGACCAGATGGTCTCAGGTCTGGGTAAGGAACAGCTTGCTGGCCATGAGAGCTGTCCCACAGTGGCACAGGCGTCCAGGGGCACTTGTGGGTTCGTGTCCCCAAAGCCATTGGCCTCCTGGGTCTGGAGCCAGAAGGGCCCTTAGCGATGATGAATCCCAGCCCTCACTTTGTAATTGAGGAGACTGAGAGCAGAGAGACTCAGCCCTGGTTGCACAGATGAGAAATAGCAGTGCCGAGATCTGAAACCAGGTCCTAAGAGTCCAAACCCACTGTTCTTTTTTTTTTTAAACTTTTCCCAGTTACATGTAAAACGTTTTTTTTTAAACATTCATATGTTAAAATGTTGAGTTCCAGATTCTCCCCCTCCCTCTCTGCAGTTGGATATAGCTTATATATATGCAGTCATGCAAAACATTTTTATATTAGCCAAATTGTGAAAGAAAATGCAGACCAAAACCCCCACAAGAAAAATAAAGAAAATAAAAAAAAGTCTGCTTCCATCTGTGTCCAGACTCTGGAGGGAAGAGCACTTTTCATCAGGGTCCTTAGGAGTTGTCTAGATCAGAAGTTACAATGTTGTTACAATGTTACAACTCAGATCATAGTTACAATGTTGCTGTTACAAGTCTTCCCAGAAAACCTCCCATTCTTGATGTCTCTCCACAGTCCCTGTCCACTGCTTCCGAAGGTCGAAGGCTAAAGATGGGGGGGTGGGTACGGATTTATAGTCGGTGCCTATGGAAGAAAGGGAGGGGACAGAACCTGGTGGATGAGAAGGAGCAGGTCAGCCCATGGGGCTGGAAGTGGGCCTGGAGCAGCTGTCTGGAGCCCTGCAGTGGCAATGCCAGAC